GTGATACACTTCTATGCGCGTGTTAGGACATGACCCTCACCTACAACACACAGATGGACATGCCCGGGCTCCAAGTAAGATTGCATGCTGATTTCATGCAACCCCAAAGCACCAGGAATGCAATTCTGCCCTGTGCCATCTGTTGGTACATCAGAACCCCGCAAGGCTTTTGTATGACAGCCCTGCGATCCATTCTCACCTGGCAGGACATCACTTTTGAACCAGAAAAAAACAAAACAGGAAAATTGGGGACAAACAGGCTGGCAGCTGAGAAGGGGAGCGTGCATCCGAAGACAAAATTTCTGTCTGTAATTCTGCTACAGGCTTTTATCTGCCCAGGGGAAAGACTTAGCCTTTCCTTCATAGAAAGGGTACGATGGGTACTCTCTCTCAGAAAAGCTGCAGTGGTGCAGTTCTCTGCCATTTCCCCAGTGAATGAAGGGTATTCCTACAGCCTGGATTGTGCAGGGAAATAGGGAAGTCGCTACAGTGACTCATGGCTCTCCTCGGGTTTTTCAAACGGCTCAGGGGGCAGTGCTAACATGAAAAGCAAGAGCAGCGGAAGCCGCTGCTCTCCGCTTCCTCCTCCAGATTTAGGCAGCATGGGTGTTATTGCTGGGAACTGCTGCCCTCTGCTGTCACACAAAATAGAGATGAAATTCTCATCTGACAAAACCAGGTTTACAGCTACATATAAAAAAAAAAAAAAAATACACCATGGTAACAACCACAAGGTCACAGTGCATTCAGATTTCAAGTGGGTTCACCCCAGCCCCTCCTGGTTTTACGCACTGATAAAATGCCTGCCCCTTTTTGCAGCACATCCCGAGAGGCATCTTGGAAGCCAAACACAGCCTAAAGGATGATTTTACCTAGCCCATCACCTTTGTTACAGCTGTTTCAGAGGTAAGAAGCACTCGGCTATTAGTCCGTTCAGTAAAGCATCTCTTTCTGTCTGCAGATCTTTGTAGTGGATTGTGCACATCATGAGGGAAAGTGCTAGTAAATATCCTGCCCCCAGCACAGGGCTTGGACTAGTGCCACTGGGAAGCTTTGCCAACCATTTTAAACACTGTCCAGATGGGGAAGCCTAAGTGAATTTACAGGTATATTTTTTAGTTGAGGAAAGACTGTGTATAAGGAGACTCTGCAACCCTCAGGCAGAAAAATCCTGGCCTTGTTTTCCTTGAAGGTCTGTATGTGCTTATGACAAGAAACCCAGCATAGAGGAAAAAGGAGAAGATACACCATGCTTCACAGCACATCTCCAGCCTGAAGAGCAGCACTCAGTTTGTTCTGAGCCTGCAGTAGTCACATCACCTCTGCCAGCTTACCTGACTTCCTCACCAGCGAAATCAAACACTTTGGTGATTGTCACTTTTCCTGAATCTTTTGGCTTCTCAGATTCTTTTGGTTTCTCCTGAAGCTTCTTCCCGCTCTTCTCTTCTTCAGTCTGGAGGAGAAAACAGAACAACACATTTGTGGAGACAAGCCAAATTATCGCTCCAAGGGGCCAAGGACCCAGTGCAGACCTCAGGTAGCACTGCAATTTAGGCTGGCTGGTCAAAGCAAGGCGCCCGCAGACAAGAAAAAGGAAACAAAAGTCCCTGCCACCAGAAGGAAATTCCCCACTTCTCGTTCCAAGCTCTCACTGGAGCTCAAGGATCAAAACAAACCCAAAACAAGAAGTGAAATTGTAATTAAATATAGGAAGGAGCAAGAATACACTGCTGTGGTTTGTAAGCAAGCAAAAGCCTGAAGACTCAATTCTCCCAAACTAAGCACCGCCAGGCAGTAAAGCTGCCAGGCTCGACTACACAGAAACAGGTTTATTTTTACTCAAGAATACAGAAGAACCAAAAACC